AAAAAAAAAAAAAAAAAAAAAAAAAAAAAAGATTTAATAAATAATTGTCCAGCACTTTCTCAGGGAGTTGATGAGGGTATCAATGTCTCCAAATGTGAATTGCCTGGGTCTGGACACTTTCCTTCTCACCAAATGTCTGGCCATCCTTCTCTGTCTTGTATCTGGGCTTCTAATTTTTTTTTAGAAACTGTCACTTCAGAACACAACACTTATTTGCTAACTTGGCTCCCAAAGAAACGGTTTGGTCCTGGGCTATTCCTTCATTTACATGCTTATTTATCATCACAATGTTTCTGAATATCATATGGGGGACTCCCCCCAAAATAGAATTATCTTTTGGAGGGCAGGTCCCTTGTAATATACTCAGAAGTTGTTCCTCCAGATCAAACGGTCAGTCAAAGCTTTTTTTTTTTAAGTTGGAGTCTCACTCTGTCACCCAGACTGGAGTGCAGTGGCCACTCCCAGCCACCGCAGTCTCGACCTGCTGGGCTCCGGCGATCCTTCTGCCTCAGCCTTCCAAGTAGCTGGAGTTACAGGTGCGCTCTACCACGCCCAGCTGATTTTTTGATTTATTGTAGAGATGAGGTCTCACCAAGTTGCCCAGGCGGGTCTCGAACCCGCGGGTTCAGGCAATTCACTCACCTCAGCCTCCCAAAGGCGCGGGATTACAGGCTGAGCCACTGAGCCCGGCTAGTCAAAGCTTTTATCTGGAAGTTTTGAGAAGTTTGCATCATGATCTATGGAAGAAATGTCCCGAGTTGTGGCAACCACACCGTGACAACAAACTGGCGCAAACCGCACTGAGTGTTCGACAGTTTTTGACCAAAAAATAGCATGACCTCACCGTGCCCGACCCTCCCTATTCACCCAATCTCACCCCCAGTGACTTGTTTTTGATTCCTTGGATGAAAAAAGTCCTCCAAGTAAAACACTTGCCGCTGTGGAAGAGGTGAAACAATGCAGAAGTACTAACGGGTATCAAAATTTAGGAGTTCAAAAACTGAACAGAGGAAAAACAGTGGAAAAGGTATCTTGATAGGTGTATTGTAGCAAATGGAAAGTACTTTGAAGGTGACGTTCAAACATGTAACAAAACATTCAGAATTTTAAAATACATACATTTCAGGTTTTTCTGGATCCTCCTCTTGTAATGATCAGAACTCAGAGAGGCTTACCCCCTCTCTTGGGAACACCAGCCTACAGCAAGACATTTGGTAGCTAGCTTTGGCCAGAATTATTCATTAAACACATATTTATTGTTAACCTACTATGTGCTAGATCTTGGGCAACAGTTGAAGGTAAAGTAGAGGACAAGATAGTTAGAGTTCATTCCCCCACAGAGATGATAATGAAATTAATCAAAACAAGAAATTCAGACACATACATTCATTTCACTTTGAGGAAAACAAAATGAGACAGGGTCTTTGCCTTCTTCTGCAGATAGCTATGGCACAATACCAAACAAAGTTTAATAAAAACAATAAACTATGGGGCTCAGGTGCAAGTAACTTAGTAGATAGGAAAGGAACGATCTTAAAGGAAGATGGATAGCTCAGAAGGATTCCTGAGAGGGTGCATTTAAAGAAGGGCAAGATGGAGAAGGAGGGCTCTGAGAACAGCCATGGAGCCCGGGCTTCAGCCTGAAGACCATGAAAAATGTTATGAAAACGCCCCGTGTACCTTATTAGGACAGGAGAGGAGTGATCAGCCTCCAACGTTAGACCCTCTGGACCCTCATCCGCCTGGTTTCTTCTGTCAAGCTATCCTGCCCTATTGCTGCCCTAGTCCCAGGTTGTACAGTGGGATGTTGGAGAGCTCAGCTTTTATACTTGTCCTCCCAGGCTCAGCCTTTCAAAAGCTGCCATAGTCAACCTTCTCATTTTCACTCTTTTTTTGCTTTCCTTAGTTTTTGAATTAATTCCTTGAGGAGAGTTCACTCAGAAGTAGTGTCTCTTCAATATTTTAGCTAATCCTAACTTCTGCGCAACACACTCCAGTTTTAACCGCGCAGAACCTTTTCTTTTTCTTTTTTTTTGAGTTGGAGTCTCAGGCTGGAGTGCCCTGGCAAGCTCACGGCCACCGCAGCCTCGACCTGCTGGGCTTAAGCGATCCTTCCGCCTCAGCTTTCCAAGTAGCTGGAACTTCAGGCGTGCGCTACCACGCCCGGCTTGTTTTGATTTATTGTAGAGACGAGGTCTTACCAAGTTGTCCATGCTGGCTCAAACCTCTGGGCTCAGACAATCCTCTCGCCTCGGCCTCCCAAAGTTCGAACCCTTTCAATAATCTAAAACATGCAGTTTCTCTGTGAGAGTTCAGTGGAAACTCCCCTCCCCACACTGACTCTATGGATGACTGAGAGATAAACCCACCAATGCAAGCGGAGGGCGGACCAGGAACCCGGTTTAGTAATGCCCCCCAAGGACCCCACTTTTGCAGGGGTCACCGTTTGGTTCCTGGCACGCCCCCACAGGCAGGCCAGCCGCGGAAGTCAGTGGCGAGCAGCACAAAAGCAACTGACTTCTCTCGAGGGCTGCGGGAGCCGGCCGGGCGTGTCTGAAGAGGACGCCGGGGGAAGGCCCTTCGGAAGGAAAGGGTCAGAGCGAGATGGGATCCGGGATCGCCATGTGGCCGAGGGTCCGGCGGTTGGCAGAACCGACGGCCTTCACACGCTTCCCAAGTGGGCGCGGGAGTCACGGGGCTGTGTATCACTTTGAAAAGCCCACACCAGGCCGGTGTCTCGTGACCTGCGCCCCTGAATACCAACAGGAACCAAAGTCTTCTCCAGCGAAAGCGCCAGCACGCCCCTCGCGCCGGGAATTTCAAACGACCCGGCAGCCCCTCCTTTCCCGGAACCGGAAGCTTTGCAACTAGCGCCCCTTGCTGGCCTTCTCATAAGGGAACGGAGGCCGCAGCGGAAACTACACCTCCCAGAATGCAGCGCGAAACTTCCGGCTTCCGGCGAGAGGGCCAGAGTGAGTGTTTACACCGGCGGCTCTGCGGCCGGCTGCCTTCCGCGGGACGGGTGAGGGCGCTGGGCCCCGGGCTGCGCGGGCCAATGTGTGTCGACTATTTAGCCGGCCCCACGGGAGCGGTGGGTAACCACCAGATAGTATCCCTGCCCATTACTAGTTATCTGTGACCTTGGCCCAGTGACTTTACCTTTCTGAGTCTCTGTTCCCTCTTCTGTAAAATGGGAATGCTCGGAGAACAATTGTGAGGATTAAGTGAGATATGGAATATAAAAAGGCCTGTTCCTTTCCTGTCATGGAAAGTCTGGAGGTGGCAGGTACTTTGAGGATGCCTTAAGGTCTGCTGGGCAGCCTCACGGCGTTCTCTTTTTTCTTTCCTAAAAAGGCCACTTTGGAAGCAATAATGATTATAACACAAACTTGTGTTGTTTTGCAAGATTCTTCCACCCTCAGTTTCTGATTTATTTTCTGGGCGTCCATATGGGCCAGGCATGGGCACAATAAAGGTGAAAAACTCTAATCTGTGTTCTTAAGGGCCTCCAAGAATCGGGATGGAGAAGGGGACTGAGAAGTAAGTAGATAGTTGTAGCCCTTTTGCCCTGAGGGGATGTTGAAATAACAGAGAGGGTACTGGAATGAATGTGGGTTGCTCTTGGTAGAAGTTTGCTTAGAGGCCGAAAAGGAATTACGTGCATAATTAGCAGAGGTGTAAAATGGGGGAGAGCTGTGTTACCAGTGGAGGCTTAGTGGGGTGCACTTCCATGTCGTGGGGACCAGGCAGGGCAGGGCTCTGTTGGGGAGGAAAGCTAGTAGGGGGCAGAATGTGAGTGATTTTGTAAGTCAGGCTGTGAAGTTGAGACTTAATTTATATGGAGTCAGATTTAATTTTTGGACTTAATTTATGTGGAGTCAAATTTAATTTTTTGGACTTAATTTATATGGAGTCAAATTTAATTTTTTGTTGTCACTGGAGGAGTTCTAAGCCGCGAAGTGACTTAGGTCTGTGTTCTATAATGACGAGTGAGGTAGCAACATCGGTATTTGATGGGGAGACGCAAGCGTCAGGGAACTTGTTCTAAAGCTGTTGTACTAGTTCAAGCAAGAGTTGAAGGAAATTGGAGATAAGGAGTGTACACAAGAGGGAGGGATGGGTGATCTCATTTGAATCTCACAATCTTCCTATTTAATTGGATTTTTTTTTTTTTTTGAGTTGGAGTTTCTCTCTTGTCGCCCAGGCTGGAGTGCTGTGGCATGCTCACAGCCACCGCTGCCTCGACCTGCAGGGCATGGGTGATCCTTCCTTCTCAGGCTTCCAAGTAGCTGGAATTACAGACACACACCACCATGCCTGGCGAGTTTTTGTGATTTATTGTAGAGATGAGGTCTTACCAAGTTGCCCAGGCTGGTCTCGAACCCCTGGGC